AGAGAGAGAGAGAGAGAGAGAGAGAGAGAGAGAGAGAGAGAGAGAGAGAGAGAGAGAAACAGAAACAAAACAATTGGTATCCTGCACGGGCACACAGCGTGTTTGCATAGATAGTGCTGCAATTGTTTTTTTTTTTAAATGCATACATATTACATATGCAAGGAATATGAGTGAGAAGTTGAGAACGATTTACAGAAAGCCAAGTTGCGAAATCACACAGATGTGCAAGAAGTCGTGTACAAGCTGAGAGCACAAATGCGCCGAGATTCCATCATCCAATTAAGAGCAATACAATGAACTGATGAGTCAATGTTCAAGCCCTCAGGCCACACCAACACTGTATCCAATGTCGCTCCTCTCTGTCTCGCACCCAGCGCCCAGCCTACACTACTTGCCTATCCTACTGCATCCGCATTCACGCAACAATGTACATGACGTCAACACCATAGCCGACCTCTCTCATGCACCAGGTACATATCTCGTCTCCCCTCATCAGACCCTGACCACCCACACTCGCCTCCTTCCTGAAGACCACCATCCTCCTTACCCCCTAGCGCCCTGCAGCCCGGCTATGGCTGCTTGCGCTCCGCTGCTCTCACCTCACATGCACCTGCACGCGCCCTGGCCGCTAACGCAGCAACGCAGCAGCGTGACCGCACTGCCTGCGTGGGCCAGAATTCCTGACCCTGGCTGCCTTCTTCCCTTCCCTATATGGAAGTGGCAGCCTCTGCTTGGCTGCGTGTGGCCTGGCTAGGAAGCTTCCAGTGGCTTCCGATCAGGCCCAAGTGCCCAGCTATGCAGTTGACGGCCTGGGCCCTTTACAGTTGGGCACGGGCAGTATTTCCAGACTTGGGGCGTTTGCTGCACTTGCACAGGACCCTGGGTATGTACGTCGACAATGCCTGCTTTTTTGTAGGCCTGTAGCCAATTCGTGATATATCTGCCTTGCATTGTGTGTGAGTGTGCCCAGGCGCAACTGCCAAGGCCCGGGCCCAACTGTACGACGCAGCACAAGGAGGCTCACGCTTCCTCTCAACCAACTGGCGTGCTGCAACTGCCTGAGTACCCACAAATGGAAAATGTCAAATTTTGGCCTCTGGTGAATGTTCAGGCCCCCCCTTCACTTAGGGCGGGCACGGGGCTTGCTGAGGGCCTCACCCCAAAACATGTGCATGTCTGATAAGGGCCCTCCCAGGGCTCATTCCTTGCATACATAATATATATTATATAATATGTATAATATATATATTATATATAATGATAAAAATGATAAAATATATTTCCGTGTGTGGCAGAGATGGAACGTCATTGAAGCAAAGCAACAGACAAAGCAACCGCAAACTCGCGTGTCAACGGTTAATGGCGAGTAAACTAAAAACTACTGTGGTAACAATTGCGGACACGAACAACAGATGGACACCGGCATCGCAGACTGACCGTGACCAACGGTTAATAATGAGTAAACTAAAACTACTGGGGTAACAATGGCGGACACGAACAACAGACGGACGCCGGCGTCACAGACTGACCGTGACCAACGGTTAATGACAAGTAAACGAAAAAGGTACTGGGGTAACAATGGCTGACATGAACAGCAGACGGACAACGACGTCGCAGACTGATCGTGACCACCTAGCTACCGTCTTCCTCCGAACATAACACGTGTTGCATTCGCGTTTTAGAAAAGAATCGACGACTCGAATATAGAACGCATGTGCGTTGTGTTTGAATATTCCGGCTGCTCTAATAGAATGGATATTCGTCATATTCCAACAGAAAGGAACCCAGGTGCTGTATTAAGTTTACAACGATTATGTGTCATGTTCGGGGGAAGACGGTAGTACATTCCCACTTCGAGAAGAAGCGTAAGAAAGGTCTGCAGCACAGAGGGAAATGCGGCTGTCAAAAACAAAAGAAGAAAGTAAAAGAAGAAATTCGTTTATGTGTTATGTTCGGGGGAAGACGGGTAGTGCTTCCCAACCTGCATAGCAGACTCATTCCGCCTGGGAAGTACACATTTTCTCGCCATGGAAATGCGCGCCTGTCGAAAACAAAAGAAGAAAAGAATGGAAGTTCCCTCCTGGTAAACGCCTGGCTCCTGTCGAGGTGGTGTCCGTTCCCCCCCCGCCCCTTTCACCCCCTCCCCCGCCCCTGCCCGCCCTGCTGGGTGGGGTCCCAATCCACCAGACAGAGCCAACCTGCAGCTTAACTCAAGAGAGGAAGGGGTTACATCGCGAGTTTAGGGGGGAAGGAACTCGTTAGCTAGGGTTCAAATTGGCACGATCTTTTTTTTTTTTTTTTTTTTTTTTTTTTTTTGAAAGTAAAAGACAGTTGAAGAATTAATAATCAAAACGAATTGGCACGATCTACCGGTAGCGATGCGCCTTCTTTGCCGGCTGTGTGCTACTACTGCTGCTTTTGCTGCTGTGATTCTGCTTTCATTTCCTGCTGTGCTGCTGCCCCTGGTACTTTGTGGCCCAATGAAAGGGTCCCTTTCATTGGGTGCGCAGCCCAGTCGGCAACGTCGGGCCAATATCCGCGCCTCCTAGTGCCATGTCACATTTCCACCCTCTGGAAGGATGAGGCTTGGAAAACTGTGGGACTTTTGAGTCCTTTTGGGACTTTTGAGTCCTTTAAGAAGTTCTGGCCCTCGAGCTACCACAGCTGGAAGTAATACCATCTTCCCCCGAATACAAGGTACGGTCATTATGGCTGTATCTAGACAGAAAGATGGCTCAAATATAGCTATAATGACCGTACGTTGTATTCGGGGGAAGAAGGTAGGGAGGAAGTACACCGGCTGAGAAAAATGGGGCAGCTGCTGTTGTCTTCCCCCACATAATGTGTCATGACGGTGGGCATTATATTATGATGGTCTAAGACTCTAAGCATACAGCTATAAATTTTGGCTATAAATTTATAGCTATCGTTTTTATAGCTGAGAACAATATAGCTGAAAAAAATATAGCTGAAATTTATGGCTGCATCATCTGTGTGATGCTCGAGGGTAAATTACTAAATTTCAGGTGGGAACCGACGGGCTTAGCTCAGTTGCGACACCCAGATGTGTGAATCACGTGACGTGACGTAGTGAACAGAAAACCATAATTCTGCAGTAATTACTCTGGGCCCGGTGAGGACAATTATCATATCTCGAGAGCCTCCCCCTTTTCCAAAAAAATAAAAAATAAAAAAAAATCATCAGGCCGGCTACAGGGTATTGAATCTATTGATGTTCTTAAAAAAAAAAGAAGGGCAAAAAAAACAAAAGGCAATGGCTTTATGTTTGAGTGAAGAAGATGGAGAAAACCTGTGGACCTGTGGTGTAGCTTGTTCGAGTGAAGAAGATGGAGAAAACCTGTGGTGTGAAAAAAACAAAAAAAAAGAAAAAAAAAAGAAGGCCCGCTACGGGTATTGATGTTTTTTTTTTTTTGGGGGGGGGAAGAAAGGCCAAAAAAACCAAAAAGGCAATGGCTTTACGTTTGAGTGAAGCAGATGGAGAAAACCTGTGGTGTAGATTGTTAGAGTGAAGAAGATGGAGGGAACCTGTGTTGTAAAAAAAATAAATAATAAAAAAATCAGGCAGGCCGTCTGCAGTTATTGATGTTCTTCTCCCCAAAAAGAAGTAAAAAAAAAACCTCAAAAAGGGGCAATGGCTTATGCTGGAGTGTAGAAGATGGAGAAAACCTGTGGTGTAGCTAGCTTCTCTCTCTTGATGTCTGTCGCCTCATTGTCTGATGATCGGGACGCTGTCTCGGCTGAGCTTGATGTCTGAACCTGGTCTGGATTTCTGTCGAGGGGTCTCAGACATCAAGCTCAGTCCAGACATCCTCTGACAAGATCTGACAAGACAGGCCACAGGCATACCTGACAGCCCTCGACAGAAATGCAGATGGGCTTGTGGAAACATGTTTTCACAAGACAGACCGGCCTGTGGACGGTCGTGTCGGAGGATGTCTGTGGCGGGCGCAACACCTGCCTGTCTGTCTTGTGGAAATTTCAAATTGAAAACATTTGTAGCTGAAATCCTGAGCAGTGAGAAAAGGCTTGTGCAAACATGTTTTCACTGCTTGACTGATTGGGTATAATTGTTTACTATTTATGAGGTAAGGGGGTCTTATTGGGGTCGGTGGGACCCCGGACGGGCGGACGACCCAGCAAAATGCACGGGTGCACGGCTAGCATGCCTGCCCGGGCGCCGCTGGTAGTCAAGAGGCATAACTTGTAAGCCTATTTATTATTATTTGAGACGCTTATTTATATGGATTCTTCAGATGTTAATTAACGTCGACATTGTTTTGTTTTGTGTGGTGCGTTTCGTGCTGTTCCATTCTTGTGTTGGCCTCCATGATCGCAGTGGGATATTCTGGTGGAGAATTTAGACGCAGTGGATGAAGCCATCAAGGAGCTGCAGTGATCCGAACTGAACTGAACTATACACAATGTTGTGTTTGCACGCAAAGATATCTCCCTCCCTCCCTCCCTCCCTCCCTCCCTCCGTCTGTCCGCGCGTGCAGCATGTTTTGTTTTTCTCCTTATTTGTACAATACAACACAGTGTGCGCAGTCAACGGCGAAAAGACAGTGGCCAGGGGAAGTGGCCTTGCTTTGGGACCGTTTTGTCTGAAGCATCATTGAGGTGCGGGCGCGGAAGTACACGTGCCTGCCTGGCTGCCTGCCTGCAGATTACGTGTCAGTCTCGATGAGGCTACCGAGGAGGAGCTGCGATGAGCGCAATGGTACGAATGTCGACATGTGTACCTTGGGACATCTGTTGAATATTGGAACGATATGGAGAAGATTGATTAGCATGGCCCCTGCGCAAAGGGGATGGCACGCATAAATCTGGACAATGGATGCTTAGTCAGTGAGAAAAACAAAACATTTTATGGGTGACCACGACATGCAGAGGAGGCAAGCAAGAGATTTGATCACTTGTGTTGTTGTCGTGCAACGCTTCATCGAGTCGGTTGAGATGCCAAATTTAATCAGGGCTGTGGAAGAATGTGCTTGTAGGCTGTAGTTCGTTTTCACATCGGTCTGTAAGGAAGAGGCCAAATTTAAGGAGTTGCAACGGGACTCGACATTGCGGCACCAAATGTTGACGCTCAGGGATTTATCTGAACGATGGAAATGATGAGTTGGAGTTGGAAATGAACTCATCTCGTAGGCCGAAGGCGGCGTCACCCGTCTACGCTTTCCATCTTCATATGCTAGATCCAATACGACTAGGAGTCAGTCGAGCCGCGATGATGACGGGGAACTACTAGCCTACTACTAGCCTGTTTACTTGCTCATGGTTTGCCCGAAGTGCCGTGGTGAGGTAGTTGCTGGCGTTGACTGTATACAGTGTATAGTGTGTGGTTGGTACAGTCGAGCTCTCACCGTCAACGAGGCCATCATGGATCCCCTCTGCTTGTGGTTCTAACATTTGCCTCCTCTCTTGCGCTCTGCTTTATCTGAGGAGTGAGGACACACTTTCAAAAATTTGCCTCTTTCCTTTTTGCTCCATCCGAAAAAAATAAAAATAAATTAATAATAATAAATATAAAAATTCTGAAAGGACAAACGAACCTCCGTCTGAACCTTGCGTGCCGAACATTTCTTCAATTTGGCTGTGCTGTTCTCATCATCTTTCTCTCTTGCGCCCGTCTCTCGCCCCTTTTCCGGCCTCTAAATTATTCCTTACAAATACTTTCTATCGTATGCTGGCGCCATTCCCCTCCCTCGCCCCCCCATCCTTTGTCATCCACCTCTCTGTCTTTTTCCCTTCCCCCCGTTCTATCTCCTGTGCACTTCCGTTTCCCCCCCTTTGTGGCTGCTGCCACAAGGGCTGCAGCGTGCCCCTTGACTTGTTTGAATCTGAAGGAAAAAGGATGGCAAAATCCCTCTACACTTGGGATGCGGGGGGCGAGGTGAACCACTTGAGCCCCCCATCCCTTTCCGGCACGATGAAGTGAGGCCCCATCCATTTTCGGTGCGATGAAGCTAGGCTCCATCCATTTTCGATGCGATGAAGCTAGACCAGTGAGCTATCGCGCTTTCTTCAAAGACTGGCTGCTTCCAGGCGCACGTCCATGTGATGCGAAGCGTCTGGTAGTTGTTTCTATAAAGTGGCTGAACCCTTGACGGTATATATATTTGATAGTAGGGTGCGCTAAGGCCAAGGGGCCACCTGGCGGCGCCTATGGTCCACCTACCTTTTCAATCTCTCCGTGCGGCATATGAAAAAAAAGGCTTGTAATCCAAAACCGATTAGTTTGAGAATGCGTTTATATCTCGGATTGTTTACAGAGTTCCATGATTTACGGCTCCGGAGCCTTCGGACTCCAGGGATCCTTGAATATACCATTGCGGCCTTTGCGCCCCTATTTTTTTGACTCGTTGTAACCCGCGTGCGTTATTTGTTGTTAGCAAGTTCACAAAAATAGAGTTCAGTCGATTTTCATATTATGAATTATCCAATTTATCCTTCGGCCTCAAGTGTTAAATAAGAGAGGCCTCTGCTTCCTGTTGCGCCTTTGGCTCCACTCTGGCGATAGATCAAACGAGAAGCGCCTGCTCCAGTACAAATATGCCGGTGTTGCCTCCAGCAAATAGTTTCGAAGTTTGAGCGCCCACTTCATGTCCTGGCCTTGCCTGTGCGTGCACATCCGCAACGAGAACGAGATGGGATGGAGAATGGTTTGAGCAGCAAGTATTCGAACTCACGATGTGTTTAATATCGTCATATATCACGGTTACCGGCGTTCGGCCGGGCCTGTGCCAGACAGCCTGAACGGCCGGAGGTTCGGCCGACGGCCGGCTTTTCAGGTTTATTTTCTTTTTCTTTCTTTCATTTTCTTTCTCGTTCTTTCTTTCTTTTTCTTTCTCTTTCTTTCTCTNTTTTTTTTTTTTTTTTTTTTTTTTTTTTTTTTTTTTTTTTTTTTTTTTTTTTTTTTTTTTTTGTTGTTGTTGTTGTTGTTGTTGTTGTTCTTCCAAAAGCAAGCCCCCTTCTATTCTGGGGGCCAACAGTCAGTTGCCTGTCACCAGCAAGCATGTTTGTACCTCCAAAGAAGGGGGGAGATCAGATCACAAGAGAGGAACAGCCTAGCTCTTGTGGCATCGATCGTCTACCAAGGGGGGCTGCGAAAGGGGGCCACCCCCTGAAACCATGGTCTTTCTCTGGGGGCCACCCTGCCGGGAGGTATCATAGCAGCACCCAGACACACAGCAGGGCGACGCTCAGAGAGACAGGGCGCAGGGAGGGGCCTTCCCCTGCAGTTCCTCCGGTCAGCTATCGAACTCCGCATGTTATTGTGTCTTCTTCTTTTTATTTTTTGGCCAGATGGTGTGCGGACGTGTTGCTCTACAAACATGCACGCTTATAAAATTAAAATTAAAATATTTGGCTGGGGGGGCAAGTTGTGTGTGCGCTTGTGTGTGTGTGTGTGTGTGTGTGTGTGTGTGTGTGTGTGTGTGGGTGCATGTCGTCCGTGGGTGCATGTTGTGCGTGGGTGCATGTGTGTGTGTGTAAGGATCGCATAGCAGGAAGTGCTAAGAAACTTCATGGCAAGCCATGGTATGGCAGTCCACCCATGACCCAGTATCCGCATCAGGACTTGCTACTTCTGTCTTTATTAAACTATCGACTATGTAGGGGGCACTATGTTGTTAGGCGCTCACAAGACCGTTCCCACACCAACAAAGGAAAAGACCAGCAACATGGAGAAGACTGTAAAAAAAAACAAGAAAGAATTAACAGGGTGGCAACAGATAGGCTGGAGGGCATGGGGGAGGTGGGAGGGCAGAAATCAAACAAGGCACGAAGCGGTAAACATGAGGCGACAAGGCATAGGATGACAGAGGGCAGCAGGGACAAAGGGTGGAGAAGCATACCCAACAGACAAACTAAAAGAAACGAAAGTCCAATAAATTTCCAAGGACTGAAAAGAAGCAAAATCGATGATAGATTGTTTCGTTGGAGTACTCATCACCAGGCTGAACCCTCTTTAAAAAGGCTGAGGAATCTCCGTATTTATGGTTTGGGTCATGACCCCTTTTATCGATGTTAAAGGGGTCGAAGGGGTCAAAGGGGTCAAGACCCATGTTAAAGGGGTCAAAGGGGATTGACCCCAAGGGGAACATAGCAGTGGGCAGCAACCCTGTGGAGGACCAGGCAATGCTGTTGAGGCAACACCGCTGCACAACGCCAAAAACGACAACAAGGAAGGACACGGCAAGCGGACGAGCAGCACGGCAACCGTGAAGCAGAAGGCAACACCTACCAGGCAGCAAAACTACATGGCAAACAAGCAAAGGACGTGAAAGGATTGGCACGCGGATCGGCAGGGCAGCCGACTGGAAACTTGCCGAGATGTGGGCTGTTTTGTGGGTCCAATTTGGCCATGTGTTTGGCAGTATTTTCTGGGTAGTGTGACGTAAATGCAGGGTCCGGTTGGATCTCTCTTTTCTTGGGTCTGTTCTGATTCACGATCTTGGTCCCTTTTGTTCTGTCTCAGTGGTCCGCTGTACTTCACTTTTTCATGTACTGATGGTTCTTGTCGAAGTAGAGTATTTAGTCGGTGTTGACGGCATCCTATTCACTTCCTTGCTGGCGACCGGTACTATGTTGCGCTTTTCGCGTTTATCTTACGCACTGCCAGCACGCGAAGTTCTCTCAAATTCAGCTTTCAGTCTTTTACTCCTTACCTATCACTACTCCTAAGGTTATAGAGACGACCCCTTTCAGCATAGCTACCTCACAATGAAGGAATTGCATGTTGCCCCCTGCCCTAACGGTGGGGGTTGTGGGGTCCATTGGTTGGGGTTGGGGGGTTGGGGCGGAGGCTTGCAAGAAGACCGAGCATTTGGGGGTAAAAGAAAGAAAGAAAGAAGAGCAGCAGCCTTGAGATATGATAATTGAACTGACCGGCCCTAGGTAGTTCAGAAGTATGTTAGTTCGTTAATCTGACTGCATCTGGAATCGAACTTGGGGGTCTGTATTTCATCAGTGCATGGGTGTACCAACGAAGCTATGGCCCCGTTGGTAAGACCGAACGTTTTGCCAGCGATCCGCCCATCCCTATCTATGCCAACACCCCCCCGCACGCACACCCGTGTTGGCTATAAGGACCCGACTAATAGCGACCAGGAGGATCAAGCTGACTATGGGGCTCTTTAGACACTCCTCGGGCGCGCGTAAATTCCCTGAGGAAAATTTTGTTCCACCTATTCTTGGGGATGAAAACGAAAAAAAAGAAGTGAAAACATTTCCTTGGGGAATCCTTGGGACGTCCTCGTGCTACAGCCATTTGGTAGCATTCCCCAAGGGACCTCGAGAGGTCAAGGATCCACGATAATCGGAGCGGCGACGGCACCTGTCGTCAGCAAGAAATTTTTGTCAGCTGGTCTATTGGAGTTCCTACCGTGCAGCTCACGGACATCTTGGGTCTTCAACGTTAAATTTTTGTCGGCTGGTCCATTGGATTTCCTACCATGCAGCACACAAACATCTTGGGTGTTCAACGTTCAGCTTCCAGGAACTTTACGCCAACGGTAACCGTTCGTGGCCGGCCTGCCCCCTCGGACGTCGCCGACTAGTGTTCTCCCTTGCAGTGCGTGCTGCCAAACGGAAAAGGGCTGAATGGTCAGCAAATTTGAATACTTCCGCCGACCCGCCTTGCTCCGATTGCCCACTGTAATCGACGACGAAAAACGTTACAAGTTGTTTGTCCCATGCTGTGGTCTGCCGTTTGCAGCCCTCTTTGTCGCCGTTTGCTAGAGGTGTACCATTGTCGTCTAGCCACTGCCCTTCCCCACTTGCGTTTCATGGCCGACGTCTTTCAAAGGCTGCCGCTGCTGCTCCTGGTCATCGTTTTGCTTGTCCTTGTCATCTTCTTCCACGTCTGCATCCTCGGCAGGGTGCCTGGACGTATACGTAAGAGGCGGCCTGCAAAGAAGGACGTCAGCATGGACGGGCGGCAGGCGAAGGGCAGGTCTTCAGTGGACCACTCCAGAAGCCACCGCGCAGGCCACAGCTCGGCTCGCAGTGCAAGGGCGTACGACCCGTTAGAGTGCTTGTGTCATATGTTGTCCTCTACCATCTGCTCCCTTTATCGTCACCGTTCGGTGGACCTTCACCATCATCGTAGAATTACGGCCCTGTCTTACGTGTTGTTGATGGCCGACCTCTATTGAAGGTTGCCACTGCTGCTCCTAGTCACAATTTTGCTTGGCGTGGTCCTCCCTTTCCACGTGTGCTTCCTCTATCATTGATGGCCAACCTCTATCAAAGGCCTCCAGCAAAGAGGACGAGGGATCGACACCGACTGTAGTTGACATCATCGGCAGCGCATCCCTCGGGCGTTCGTCCACACTGGATGCAATCACCATCGCAGTACTCCTCCGTTGCATCAGCGCATTGCCTGAGATCCTCCCACGACATCCCCCTCCTCCTTTTCATCCACCACCTTAGCGTCGCTCGTGGAAGAACACTACAACCCATGGCGAAACAAACCTGAACTGCAGCCTCAGTGATGGCCACGGTATCCAGCCTTTCGACCAGGACTTGATGAAGCGTCTTCCTCCTCCGCTCTCATTCTTCCCAATGCCCTCTCCTGCTAACAACGAAAGAGCATGGCCATCACGACCGCTGACACGACCGTCTTCTTGATCGTCGTCAACTTCGCACGTCCGTCATCACTGCCGCCCTCCATCGGCGCGTGTGTTGCAATGCTCATGAAGCACGAAAATACAACAGCCTACCAACTCGCCACGAACACGGTAACCTCAGTGCGAAGTCCCCAACGACGTTCCCCGCGTGTGCTCGACTCAACACATAGGCGCGGCGGCATGCAAAGGCGATGGCGATGGACCTTTGCGGGGCGCTCACAAATTCCTGATGACGTACGAGGACTCCACTGCGCCGCTGCAAATGCCAGTTTCCACCACCACAGATATGGACGCCACCTACCCCGCGTTGCCCTCGTGATGTCCAACACCCAATTTGAAATTTGATTTTCGAACGGGGAGGACCATTGCTTTTTAAGGGTTCTTTTTTTTTCCGATCGTCGGCACCTTTCAAAATTTCCCGCCTTCGGCAGCTGGACCACACAGTTGCAAGACGAACATCACCCAATGGACCAAGGCATTGCCCCTCCCGCGACTAACTATAATATTATGAAAATGGCCACTGGCTGCCGAAAGGAATCATCCTTGGGAGACCTCCCCAAGGACAGGTGGAACAACGGCGGGAATTTCCTTGAAACCCCCCAAGGAAACTTCCTTTGGCCCCAAGGACGCCCCAAGGAGTGTCTAACGAGCCCCTATCTCAGCTGGTTGGCACCAAGTGTGCACGAGGTGATCGTGGCGACTGAATCCACACCCTCCTGAATGCCACTTGTGTGCCTAACCAAGTGAAAGATATAACCGGACCAGATGTTTTTTAGACCAACTGTTGCCTTAACTGATATTTAAGTATATCTTCTGGTTCTGCTTAATCCAAACCCGAATGTTCACGACTGAATGCGAACGAGCTCCAAAACCCTCTGAATGCGTACATAAAGATATTAAAAATCTGAAAAAAAATCTGTGTGACGAGGTATATATATATATGATGAGTAGGTGAAACTCCGATGAAACAGTTTGTCACAGCCCCTCGTTTGTTGTCCTCTTCTCCCTCTCTGCCTACGGTTTACCGGGCAGTTCTATTT